AGGTGTTTAAAAAATTCTCAGTTATAGCACGGAGTCTGGAATTATGCCCGGTATATGGCAATAGGCTCACCCCCTATTACATGGGACTCATAACTAAATAGTGAAAAGTGGGCGTTACATTGTACAGTGGCATAATGTACACCTCTGCCTACCCCTTCGGGGATAAAAGGCGTAATGTTATGTTATGTTACCTAACTTATACCAGTTAATAACATAACAAAAACAACAAAACATCTGATGTGACTTTGTATACTGATACAAATGCATAATTTATTGAAAAAAGAACATAAATTATAAAATTACATTTCATTAATTTAGTTTAGTATGCTTACCTGGCTTTTCTATTAGTCTTTCATTTGTGAAACTATTTGTTTCATTAAAATCAGACGGTTCCTTAGTCCCGATACACATTGTCAAAGTTTGATCTAATTCTTCACATATTTCGCGTGATGGTACTGTCGGCTGATCTAAAATAAATCAAAATGAATGTGTTACTTCATTTTTAAATATATTTGCAAATAGTCGTAAAATTTTATTAAAACCACTATACAAAGTATGCGAGTAACCACTATGAACCTTGTATACTGGTACAAGTGAAAATACTAAAAACAACACGTAATTTATTTATTTTTTCATATACATTTTATTAAACAATACAAAGTATATCATTATATTATTTAAAACGTCAATTGATACTTACCTTCGTAATTTTCTCGAGTGTTTATTTTACTATACCTATTTTCTAATAAATCTAACATTACTTGACCTCGTGAGCGCTTCATTGTTGAAACTTCTTAGCATTACTTTCTCAACACAAACAATATTTAATTAGTTTTTAACAAATAAATACAGAAACTGACACGCATTGCAGTTATATCAGTGTTTAACGTGCTCTCGACTCCGTCGCTGCGCGCATACTAAAGCGAATGACACTTGGACTGACGTGGCGCGGCGCACGCGACTACCTACACTGGTGCAAGTGACTTACATTAGTGTAGATGGTCGTGTGGTTGAAAATTATGTAACTTATGTTAGTTTACCAGTTTGTATCTTTGAAATTACTTGATAATTTAACGTAATTTTTACAGGATGTAAAGTTAAGATATTTTTAAGGCTTTTGGTGCAAAAAAACTTATTTTGCTGTTTTGCGGGTTACACCAGTATACGTAGGACCCGTCGTTATATAGTTGTCTGGGAGGGACAAAACAAAAATACGTGGGCAAGGACGCAGGTAAAAGGTAGTAGACAATATTTATTAGTACCTATCTATGTATATACTAGCAGCCCGCCCCGGCTTCGTACGGGGTAGACAATTATTTATTTTTGAAAATTTGGATTATTGTAGTGACATAACTACAATAGTTGGACATATGCTACCGCTGAGTTTTTTGTAGACATTATGATGTTCTTCAATATTGTAGTACATTATTTTGTTCTATCGCTAATAGTTTCGGCAGCGCATTCGACGAAAGACATTTTAAGACTCATTTTTCTACACCTTCGGTTACATTGTTCAAATTTTACCAAGGATCCCTAATTTTTTTTCAAAATGAAATGCAGAATGTAGCATTCTATTGGTGAAACAATTTTTTAAATCGGCCCAGTACTTTTTGAGCCTATTCATTACAAACATACAAAGATAGGTACAAATCTTTCTTCTTTATAATATTAGTAATAGATGTATGTATATGTATATACCTATGCAACACAGACAGCTAATATACTTAGATATTGCAATAAATTAACTGTTCCGTGTCTGACCACCGACTACATTCACCGCCGACCTTGGAACTGCATTCTATAGATATTTTAGTTCAATCGTATTGTAAGCGTTGATTGCAAGCGTTTCGCTTTTGTTTTGTAAAAAGAAAAGGTAGGTTTATATGTACAAGTTATTTAGTATGTCGGTAATAAAAAATAACAATCTGCCGAACATAGAACCTCATTATTTTGATATTCATACATATATAACACTAGCTGTTGCCCGCGACTTCGTCCGCGTAGATTAATGACTTCTGACAGAATTAATCAGAATCAATTCAGTGCCCAAGTAAGATTTACCTATTTTGAAATGATTTATCGTAGTTTTAATAAATAAATAATCCCGCAGGGATCTTACCAGTACAGTGCTCGATCACATAAGGTTTGAGTAATAAAAACTATTCTATCGACTATTATTGTACCGAATCTCTCTAAAATAAGTTCAGTGGTTAAGAGTTAGAGAGTCCTGGGGCATTGACGCATAGTTCCCGTTCCCGTGGGACATCTGTGATAAAAACTATCAAACGTTACCTAGGTCCCAAATCATCGTTTTACCGAATGTAATTTAAAAAGATTCAATGATTCTAAATTCAATGGCTAAATAGATTTATACAAACTCTCATTCCCTATTTTATTCCCTTAGGGGTGGAATTTATCAAAATCCTTTCTAAGGAGATACCTATGCCATAGTAACTTTATGAATGCAAAGTCTCAGTTCAGTTTAAAACTGGCAAAGTATCATACAAACTTTCACCCCCTATTTTACCCACTTTGGGGTGATAATGTTCAAAAATCTTTCTAAAGAGATGCCTAACGCCATAACATCTACCTGCATGCCGAATTTCATCTCCATTGGTGTAAAACTGACAAAGCTTCATATAAACTTTCACCCCCTATTTTACCCCCTTAGGGATGGATATGATCAAAATCCTTTCTTAGCGGATGCCTATGTGATAACATCTATCTGCATGCCAAATTTCAACCCGATCGGTTTAAAACTGACAAACTTTCATCCCCTATTTTACCCCCTCGGGGGTAGAAATTATCAAAATCCTTTCACAGCAAATGCCTACGTCATAACATCTATCTGCATGCCAAATTTCAATCCGATCGGTTTAAAAGTGACAAAGGCTCATACAAACTTTCACCCCCTATTTTAACCCCTTGGGGGTGGAAATTATCAAAATCCTTTCTTAGCGGATGCCTACATCATAACATCTATCTGTATGCCAAATTTTAGCCCAATCTGTTCAGCGGTTTGGGCTATGCGTTGATAGATCACTATGTCAGTCAGTCAGTCAATCACCTTTGAATTATATATGTATAGAAGATCACGCCTTTTCTCCTCGAAGGGGTAGGCAGAGGTGCACATTATGCCACTGTACAATGTAACACCCACTTTTCACTATTTATGTTATGAGTCCCATGTAATAGGGGGTGAGCCTATTGCCATATACCGTGTACAGTAATACTTTGCACGACCCGGGAATCGAACACGAGACCCCTTGCCTGGCAGTCGCACCTGCGACCACTATGCCGTATATACTTTCGATGTATAAAGTAAAAATAAAAAAATAAGTGACGTAGGTAGTAATTTTTCTTTTAGTTTAAAAAAATATATAAGTACATTGACTTTATAGATGTCAATTTTTAGACACTATTCGCATCGCACGTGCCACCCGAGAGCCGAGAAATACCTCTTCGAAGAATACATGGCGTGATGTTTTGATAATGTACTATGAGTTCGTATGCGCTTTCGAAATAAATTTACTTTTTGCGATGGTTCCACCAGTTATTTTTTTGTTTTAAACAATTTATTTCTTTGTAAAACTATTGTAGGTATTATCGAGACAGAACCATTTTACTTCGGAACGAAAACGAAATAAATTTCACGGTTTATAAGTACCCACCTACCGGGAATTTCCAATAAATAAAAAAAAATTCTTTATTCGACTCGAACAGAACTTGCGTTGAGTCAGACTCTCCGTAATAATAACATTCAATAAGTATTATTATGGTTATACAATATATTTATTTAAGCATGATACCTAGACTCTAAAATAGGTTTTCCTTTCCAAAGAGGTTGCATGTGATCAATTTTAGTAAATTAAATATTAATTTAACAAATCATACATTCTGGCCCCATGTGCTGCCATCTATTAGAACTATTACAAACTACGTGAACAATGCGACGTATAGTATTAATTTAATCATAATGGTCAATACAGGAAGTGTTAACACCATATATTTATCGTAATGCAGATTATAACTTTAATTAGCACTACAAAAGCTTTTTCCTGTTCTTTTTATGGTCTAAAAATAGCTCCAAATAAGGCGTTCGATAAACTCCAAACTCCACATGCGCCCTCTATTCATTGATTCAAACGACAAAATTTAGTAGGCCATTCCGTGCTTATATCAATTTGGCACGCATCGACTTTTCAATTCACTCGCATTATGTTGCCATAGATTTGTCTTCTCTTTCGTACTTGTTGACTTTGTATCTGTTGTCTCTTTTCAAAAAGCTCTCGCACTTGGGATGATGATAAATGGCGAAGGCGAGCGGTCTTGACATTTCGTGCTACTATCAAAATGTTAAATTCTGTTATCGGTTGTTATTATTTACGTTTTATAAATAAAACAAGATGGTTTTCCGCGTAAATCATATTTCTGGGACTGTCAGTCGGCCGTGTGAAGTGTCTGAAGTGTAAAATCATAAAAGAAAACACCTAGTCAAGTGGGTCAAATAATCTCAAATAAACCAAAAAATGTGTTTTAAACTGCCTTTTAAAAACATTAGTCTGCTCTCTAAGTCTATTTAGATTATATTTGAATACTCTGCATCCCAGTTTTGATTGAGAAAATGCTAATTTTGTGACTTCAAGTGAGGTGTTTTTTTTTCATTAATAAGTTATGAAGTGAATTTCACGTAGAAATGATTGTGTTTATATGTGTAATTCGTGAATAGTTTACTGTCCACATAAATATCGTGTTTGAAGTGAGCAGTGTTTAGATAATTTCCAAACATTCTGTAGATAAAGTAGCTATTTGTGGCGTTATAAAATAAACCACGAAACTTCACCAAAGAGGTCGTCATTCATTAGGCATAACAACTGAATATCGTTGCCAAAAAGCAATAAAAGTTTAATGTTTAACATTTTGGCGCGAAATTGATGAACAATTTTGAAGTTGTGAATTTTTTCATTTGTTACGAATGAATTTGTATTTTGGAAATTAAAATGGTGACGATGAATTCTTCGGAAAAGGCGGCGTCGAAGGCCTGTCAACAAGGGCCATCCAGGTAAGAATAAATATACAAATACATACAAAAAACAATTTATAGAAACAACCCAACTTGACAATTTGTATTACTAATTTTTCAATTATATCTTCTAGAACATTGTTTCAAATAAAAAGAGACTGTTTTACAACTAGTAAAACTCTTTTAATATGTTTATATCATCATCGTGGTGGTGGCCTGGAGGTTTAAGATGCTTCTCATGCAGTGTGCAGGTCCGAAATATACCAACAGCAAGTATCAATGTGACTCCGAGTTATATGTACTTTCTAAGATTAATAGACACCACTGACAAACGGTAAACAAACTCATCATGAGGAAACCTGGGCCTATAATTTAAATTATAAGTTTCAAATTGCCAACCCGCATTGAGCAAGCGTTGTGATTAATGCTCGAACCTTCTCCGTGTGAGAAGAGGCTTTGTTGATTATGATGTATCATCAACTTCAGCAGTCTATGGCTTTTTCTTATTCTACTCCTGAACTATGGGATTCTTTTAAATCACTAGATGTAAATTCCCAAAAATTTGTCAATACAGAAGTAGTCAATCAATAGTCAGTCAATATAGTCATTATAATCAATAGTCAGTCTCTAATGGAGTAAGTAGAAAGCGGTCAGCCTCGTTGACCGAGTGGTTGCAAATTCGACTGCCAGGCAAGGGGTCTCGGGTTGGATTCCCGGGTCGGGCAAAGTATTACTGAGTTTTTTAGATAAAAATCTCAGTAGTATCACGGAGTCTGAAATTGTGCCCAGTATATGGCAATAGGCTCACATCCTATTACATGGGACTCATAACAAAGTAAAAAGTGAGTGTTACATTGTACATTGCAGCATTAAATGCTGATATATGCACCTCTACCTACCCCTTCAGGGACAAAAAGGCGTGATGTTATGTTAGGTAAGGATTGGTCACCGGTGAGCTCGTGGGAATTAATCAGTTAATCTCCACTCTTAGAATAAGGCAGATAAACTGAAAATAAGTTTTGTAACTAAAATTATAGACCTTGTCTAACAGTCTTTGTTAATAAATGCATAAGAAAAATAATAAAGTCTATTATCATAATTTATTTTTATTTATTTATTCATTCTTTAATGTACATAATTTGTTTATGGCACATAAGGCGAACTTAATGCCATATGGCATTCTCTACCAGTCAACCTTAGGGTTTAAGTAGAAAATCTGCGAAAACTGAGGTACGGAGAATAAACTAGCAACAAAGAGAGAGAGAGACAGAGGAAAAAATAATGGTAATTATTAAATAATATAGTTATACATATATATTACATAATAGTAGATAGTATATACAATGTTAGATTTTGATATGGTAAGTTCTCTTCTTAAAGGAAACACTGCACTTCGAAGAATAAAATAACTTTTATTTAATCTCACAAATTAAAGGGTATTATAATTTCGAGTGTGACCCACGAGTGCACGGGATTATGGATGGAATGCGACTGACTGTTTTTGTATAGGACGGGGTTGTATGCATTTGAGGCGAGGAGTGAAGTGTCAGCACTGTGACGGGGATAAGGCTGTTATTATAGTCATATGCATAAAATATAGGTATAAATACATACATAAATATATATCGACGAAGACCTAGATCTAGCGTTGCAGCGATTTTAAATAAAATTCATGAACTTGGTGTTTGAAGGAGATTTTATTAGGAGCTTTTTTGATATTGAGGGGGAGCGCATTCCAAAGTTTGATGACACTTATTGTAAAAGAATTAGAAATAAAAGAGGTCCGGTGGGAAGGTATCTCAAGAAGCAAGTTATCCGTCGAGCAGAGGTTACGGTTGTGGCAACTGCCTAATGCATAATCAGAGTTCAAAGACTATATTGTAATTATATCTTTAGATACATCCAATATATGTATTTCCAATGACTTTTAGTGATGTATATCAATTTTGTCTGATTTAGAAGAAAATTTTGTGTTTCGGATACATTTGTCTGATTTTAGTATTTAAAAATTTTGTGTTTCGGATACATTTGTCTGATTTTAGTATTTAAAATCAGACAAATGTATCCGAAACACAAAATTTTCTTCTAAATCAGACAAAATTGATATACATTAGGTTTGAAAATAAAGCAATAAATACATTTTAGTCTTTTTTATTTGATCTATTATGTTTATTGTTTGTGTAAAACATACACAAAAAATATACATACATAACATCACACTTATTATCCCCGAAGGGGTAGGCAGATATAAAATGGATACTGTGTCCAGACACAGAACAACAATTTACTAATAAACATGACATCACGCCTTTTATCCCCGAAGGGGTTGGCACATTACGGCACTTAATGCCACTGCACAATGTAGCACCCACTTTTCATGTTAGGAGTCCCACGTAATAGGGGGTGAGCCTATTGCCATATACCTGGCACAATTCCAGACTCCTTACTACTACTGAGAAATTTTAAAAAAGTACCCAGTAATACTTTACCCGACCTGGGCATAAAACCCGAGACCCCATGCCCGGCGTCATACTAGCGACCACTCGGCAACGAAGCAGTCTAATTACACACTAACAAAATAGTTAAGATAACATAACATCATGCCTTTTATCCCCGAACCACGCACTTCTGCCTACCCCAGACAGAGGTGTACATTATGGCACTTAATGCCACTACAACCTAGTTAATAATTTAGTTTTGTTACAGAGACAACTCGAAATGTATAAAAGAAGAGAAAGAGAAGGATCGCGACAAGAAGGACAACTCCTCTCTGCCTCCAGGAGTACAAGCGCTGATGTCCACCATACCATCGCCGGAGGAGTCTCCGAACTATCTGGTGTACAAGAAGGTAAGATGTCCCTAAGTAAAGAAGGTTGGTGCGGTGGCTGGGCAACCGGCTGCCGTGCAACGTGTCGCGGGTCTGGGTGTCATTGTGTTTGTGAATTTGTATGTTTGTAAACGCACCCACGACACAGGAGATAATCCTAGTGTGGGGCAACGTTTTTAAAAAACTAAAAAAAAAAAATTCATTATGGTGAGCTTTTTTAAGGGACACCTATGGAGTTTCTTGCTCGTTCTTCTCCATAGGAACCTATACCTTAGAATTGTCGCGAAGAACCTAACGGGTAACCGGGGCTCCGGCTCGACGTGCAGGAGAAGGAACGGGGTGGTTTTTAGTCAGTAAGAGTCTGACACTCCCTTCCGCCTCACCCAGGCGGGAGCAGTCATTCGATGATTTTCCCCCCTTAAAAAAAAATACCTTAGAATTAGCAAATAGCGTCACTTTTAAATTTTTTGTTGTTGTTCAAAAGTGCTTTCGTGGTCTTAGTTTTCTTTTGTTTTAAAAGTAGGAACTTTGCCCTACACTAGGTTTTTCTCCTGTGTCGTAAGGAAACCTGGACTTATAAATAATTTCTAATCATAAGTTTCAAATCGCCAAAACCCGCATTGAGCAAGCGTGGTGGTTAATGCTCAAACCTTCTCCGTTTGAGAAGAGACTTTTGGTCAGCATTGGCCACTTATAGGCTGTTGATGATGATAGACATCGAACAACTACAAGTCCAAATAACAGCTTTAATCAAAAACACATATCAAAACAAAACAGCGACTACTAGAAATGCAATGACTACCGTACGCCGGAAATGACGACTCAATTAGTATGGCATCATTTCCGGTACACAACACGAAGTTATTTCCTCTATGATTATGATTAGGTCGCGTTTGTATTGTTGTTTGTTTGTTTAGTTATTTAGTTTTGTTAGTTGATGATAAATGTTATGTGTTTAAATTGGGGGCTAAAACGTCATTTCTACGTCTAAAATGTACGTAGAAGTGACGTCACGCGACATTTCAAATCAAATCGAATCTAAAGTATTCTTTTCTGTAAAAAAATAAAAATTACGTGTCTAATGATTTAAAATAATCTATACCAGACGGACATTAAAATAAAAATTAGGCATCTAACCCCATTTGTGGATCATACAATGATTAATTGCTGCATGCGGGAATCGAACCCGTCCGTCCGTGTCTATCGTAGAAATTGTCGGTCCCTCGGGGCCCGTTGAGGGTAGGGGCTCGTATTATCTTGCCGACGTGCAAAGTCAAAGTCAAAGCATTTATTTCAATTAAACCATAGTTTGGTACTTTTGAAACGTCAACAAATACAAAATAAATAATAGTAAATTAGGTGAAGCTAGGTGCTCATTCCAAAGTGTAGATTCGAATGGAGAAGAACGAGCAAGAAACTCCATTCGTCAATGTTCTTTAAGTTGGTATTGTTCGTCGAATCAGTCAGCCTCACCTGTTAATTGAGCCGACTGTAAACCGACACATGCGTACTGCCTTCAGAACGGGTCCGCTCAAACTGTTGTGGTTCTTTCCTCAAAAGGCCACTACAGAAAGAACTTGCACGGTTCTCACACATAATCTATTATACATATTGTCTGGACTTTAAAAGAGACAGACCTCTGAGTTTGTTTCGGCATTTCTTCTCAGAATAGTCAGTTAGGAAATGTCGGCCTCATCGTTCGCTTGATAAAATTGACGTGTAAAAGTGCTGCCTTGTAGCCTATTTGCAGAAATAAATTCACTTGTTTCACTTGTTACTCTTTTTAAAAAAAGTATGTTCTACAATGTCTCTGATACATATTTCAATACTGTACGCATATGTAAGAACAATGCAAAGATACGCTTGAAGCATTATACTAATAACTTACTAAAATTAAAAATCTTAAGTCTAACATGGTGCTCACATATGCATACTGACAATCCATAGAAATAGTGCTTCTGTCGCGGAGAACCTAACGGGTAACCGGGGCTCCGGCTCGACGTGCAGGAGAAGGAACGGGGTGGTTTTTAGTCAGTAAGAGTCTGACACTCCCTTCCGCCTCACCCAGGCGGGAGCAGTCATTCGATGATTTTCCCCCCTTAAAAAAAAATACAAGAAAAAGTGCCACCCTGTAGTTATGCTACTGCTTCTCACGACATTGTTGAAGCTTTAGAACTACAATGTATTAATCCAAATATTTGTTATATTTCAGATGGAAGCCATAATCGAGAAGATGCAAGATGAGAATACAGGCGTCCCTGTGAAGACGGTGAAGAGCTTCATGACCAAGATACCTTCGGTAAGGGGAACTTCTATTATTTATTTACTCTTTTATTTTATACAGTCGTGTTTAATTATACTATGTATTACTCAAAACTCTGCCTCGTTCGCCGAGTGGTTCCAAGTGTGACTGCCGGGCAGGGGGTTTCGGGTTCGATTCCCGGGCAAAGTATTACTGGTGTTTTTAAGAAAAACTTTGTAGTACAGTCACGGAGTCTAGAATTGTGTCCGGTATATGCCAATAGGTAATCACCTATTGAGTCCCATGTTATATGGGGGTGAGCCATAACATAAATAGTGAAAAGTGGCTGTTAATTGTGCAGGGGCATTAAATTCCGTAATGGGCATCCCCCCCCCCCCCTTAGGGGATAAAAAAGCTAGGCGCCTTTGGATGGATTCCCACGTCAACAAAAAAAGGCCGTTGATGATGATGATGATGATTGTTTTTTTACAGGTGTTCACCGGCACAGACCTAGTAGCCTGGCTAGCTCGCCATCTCAACCTGGATGAAACCTGGGAAGCGTTACACGTAGCCCATCTGTTAGCGGCCCACGGATACCTGTTCCCTATTGATGATCACTGCCTCACCGTTAAAAATGATAATACTTATTATAGGTGAGTTTTTTTTATTGGATAAGCCGGTAAACGAGCAGGCGGATCACCTGATGGTAAGCAATGGGCGTCGCCCATAGACACCTGGAACACCAGAGGCGTTACAAGTGCGTTACCAGCCCTTTGGGGATTGGGAATTTGAGCATTGTGTAAGATTAAGAGATTGGGAAGATTAAGGAAGGAAACCTGGGAAGCGTTACGGGTAATTGGGCCTCCGGTAACCTCACTCACACGACGAAACACAACGCAAGCGTTGCTTCACGTCGGTTTTCTGCTCGGCCGTGGTATCACTCCGGTCGAGCCGGCCCAGCAGTGCCGAATCATGGCTCTCCCACACTTTCAGCCTTAAACAGTTTTTATCGGCAGCTAAAGGCTTAACTTGAAGTTTATTGTCAATCAAGTCAAAATCGAACTTGTTTCAGGTTCCAGACTCCATACTTCTGGCCATCCAACCAATGGGAACCGGAGAATACTGACTACGGTGAGTTGAATTTTTATTTATCTACTAGCTTCTTGCAACAAAAAAATAATATGGATGATGACAGGGTATGAAAATTAAAAATCTAATTAGTCCGTCAGTTAGATAATGAAAAAATATAACATACGTATTTTTTTATTTTGTCGTATAATAAAGCAATACTTAGATATGTATATCGAATCAAAGTTTAGGAGTGGGAGCTAAAACGTCATTTTTACGTATAAAATGTACATAGAAGTGATGTCACGCGACATTTCAAATCAATATATCGTCGAAAGTATTCGTTTCTGTAAGAAATATAAAAAATAGTGTCTAATGATTTAAAATAATCTACCAGACGGACATTCACATTTATAAAATAATAATGTATTAATGTATCGAAGTCAAAGCATTTATTTCAATTTAACATTAATAAGACACTTTTGAAACGTCAAAAATTTAATAGTTCCGTCCTTCTGCCTGTCAGTGCGTATAAAAGACGCGACTTGATACGCTTAGGGCTTGTCTCCATGAGTAAGTTACTGATGATTACTTACCTATGACTGCCTCGTTGACAAAGTATTGCTGGGTATTTAAATAAAGCTCTCACAAATATTACATGGGACTCATAACATAAATAGTGAAAAGTGGGTGTTGCATTGTACAGTGGCATTAGGGACTACACACACTTATTCAGCTCTATTCGCGTTTTGCTGAACGGTTTTGGTGACACTTATTCAGCTCTATTCGCGTTTTGCTGAACGGTTTTGTTCACACTTATTCAGTTCTACTTCTATTAGCGGCGTAAGAGCAAGCAAGTAAAAATATTTTTGCACTAGAAATATAAGTTTTTCTTCGTCCATTATTTTATTTCGAAAAACTAAAGGATGTAATTAGAATTACTTTAAAACACGTCCGAACTTTCTCGATCCTTGCGTGCATAATGATAACGTAGTAATAAATCAAATCTAACCAGGAGCTATGCAGGTTGCAACTTGTCGACAAGGAGTTGAGAACCATACGTGTGCGGCGCTGTTCCGCCCCATTCAGCGTCGAACGCGGCGGAATAGCGCTGAATGCAACAGATCAGCGCTGATCTCTATCTAAAGCACTCGCATGATAAAAACACATTTGTTCTCATTTTATACTTGTTTGCCGCGAAAGTTGAATAAACGCGGAAAGCTGAATGAATGCGTACGCGTCTCCACACAAAATCGTTGTTTTCTATGGACATAAACTGAATAGAGCTGAATAAGTGTGAGTAGTCCCTTAAGTGCCGTAATGTACCTCTGCCTACCGCTTCGGGGATAAAAAGCGTGATGTTATCTTATGTGTAATTATTAGTAATATTCTATTTTTCTTACCCAACAGCTGTATACCTCTGCAAGCGAACAATGCAGAACAAAGCTCGGCTAGAGCTGGCTGACTACGAGGCGGAGTCACTGGCGCGGCTACAGAAGATGTTCAGCAGGAAGTGGGAGTTCATATTCATGCAGGCGGAGGCGCAGAGCAAGGTATGTATGTACCTACAACATTTTAGGACAAGCCCCCACAACCTCCCAAAACCGCTGCAACTCCTGTAAGCCAGGATCTACAGTAGATACAACCATGAAAACACCGGAACACTGAAGTCCGACGTCCCAGGGACATTTATTTATTTGTTTTTATAATCTAAACTAAACTATCGTGAGACATACTAAATTAAGTAAAATCGCGGGTTACTCACGTGAATATAGTGAGAAAAGCTCTACTAGTTTCGAACCACAGAGGGGTTCTTCCTCATGAGCAGCGTGCTGGTCGCGGCGATGTCGCGCAGCTCACTCTATTCTCTATACACAGAGCTTTTCTCAGTATATTCACGTGAGTAACCCGCGTTTTTACTTAATTTATTTATTTATTTACTTACTTACATGTACCATTACAGGATGACCCAATGCGATAAATGCGAACTATTTAATCGTAACCTATTACTTATAACTAACTAGCTTCTGCCCGCGACTTCGTACGTGTAATCCCATTTTTTCCCGTCCCCGTTCGTGATTTTCGGTAAACAGTAAAAAAAAATGTTGGTTAAATAAAGTCGGTAGGTATACGGGCGAAAGTTTTACGTGACAACGACTTTGAGTGTCTCACTCTCTCTCTCTCGCTCTGTCTCTCTCGCTCTTAGGCGGGCTAACTGTGCTCGAGTGGAAGGGACGCGTGCCTTTCACTTTTTATGTCTGTCTCTCTCGCTCTTAGGCGGGCTAACCATGCCCGAGTGGAAGGGACGCGTGCCTCTCACTCGCTCTCATTGTGAGCGCATAACGTGAGCGGAGCGTAACGCAATTTCTTGAAGTGTCACCCGGCAAACCAATTTATAAGACGTTGTCACGTCAAAAGTATCCTATGTCGGTCTCCTGGCTCTAAGCTACCTCCCTACCAATTTTCAGCCAAATCTATTCTGCCGTTCTTGAGTTATAAGTGGTGTAACTAACACGACTTTCTTTTATATATATAGATTAGATTACGAACAAAGCATTCCTTGTGAATTCACTTAGAGAACATTAGAATAAGTCCGTCTCACTCGCTATGAGGTTGAGAGTGCGGAGCATACGCATCAACGGTGCCTCCTATAGAAAGTTAGTCCGAGAACGCGGTTCCACCAGCAGTCGTGGTGAATAACTGTATTAGATCCCGCAATGAAGTGAATCAGAAGATATTATAAGAGGAGAAGAAAATTACAATTCCCTTCTGAGAAGTATGCGAGTCTGAGTGCCGAAGGATGGCTCTTCAACACTTAAAATCATCGTCTTCTCTTATCTTCTCCTCAGGTGGACAAAAAGAGAGACAAGCTGGAGAGAAAAGTGCTGGACAGTCAGGAGCGAGCCTTCTGGGATGTACACCGACCGATGGTATGTGTATCACTACATAGTATAAAACAAAGTCGCTATCCGCCGTCTGTCTGTCCCTATGTATGCTTAGATCTTTAAAACTACGCAACGGATTTTGATGCGGTTTTCTTTAATAGATAGAGTTATTCTTAAGGAAGGTTTATATGTATAATACATGCATATTGCACCTGTGCGAAGCCGGGGCGGGTCGCTAGTCTTGATTATAAAATTAAGTACTACTACTATTTTTTAAGTATTTTTTCAAATTTTTGTTTTATGGCTATTAGTGTAGCAACTGAGGATGTGGTCTCAGGTTCCATTCCATTTTAGGAATAAATAACAATAGCATGATTATCTTAGTTAAGCTATCTTAGCTAAGAAGAAAGCGGGGTGGGCCTCCCCACAATCGTCAATCGTCAGCCGTCGCGAAGGACACTCCGGGCGTCGGGGATCGCGGGACGATCTCCGGCCACCGTAAGCGCGGGCCTGCGGACGGCGAGCATGGGTGGCTCGTCGGCCGACCAGAAACAGACCCGAGCGGATGGCGCCGAGCGTGTAGCGCGATACTAACAGCCATCAGACTACCACGGATGGGGCCCAATAATAGGGCTGATGCCGATACGGAACTGCGGAACACCCAACGAGTTACCGGGGCTCCGGCTCGACGTGCAGGAGTAGGAACGGGGTGGTGTTTAGTCAGTAAGAGTCTGACACTCCCTTCGCCTCACTCAGGAGGCAGAAGTCATTTGACGATTATCCCCCCTTAAAAAAAGGAGTGGGAGTTATTTACGTCATTTTTTAGCATAAAACGTACTGAAAAGTGATGTCACGCGACATTTCAAATCAATATATCGTCGAAAGTGTTTAATTCTAAGAAAAGAAAAAATACGTGTCTAATGTTGACTGCACGGTTGGCGCGGTGGCTGTCCAACTGGCTGACGCGCAACGTGTCGCGGGTTCGAATCCCGCACGGAACAATTCTTTGTGTGATCCACAGATTGTTGTTCCGGGTCTGGGTGTCATGTGTATGTGACCTTGTATGTTTGTAAACGTACACACGACACAGGAGAAAATCCTAGTGTGGGGCAACGTGTTTCAAAAAAAAAAAAAAATGTTGAAATTCATCCCCTAAATTTGTTCATACAAAAGTAGTCTCTAAGCATTGGAAATAAGGTCTATAATGTAGGTAGTGGAGAGCGGTCACCGGTGATCGCTTAGGGATATATGGGTTAAAGTAATCTACCAGACGGACATTAAAATAAAAATTAGTCATCTACCCATATCTATTTTACATTACAGCCCGGCTGTGTCAACACAACAGAGATAGATCCGAAGAAACTGTCCCGCATCAACGCGCTCAAAGCAAAACGTCTGCGGCAATGCCAGGAATTGATATTACAGCACAATCTCAAGGTAAAACATGATTCTACTTATTTTTTTTATGTTTATGGGCTCCCGTTTGGCTCGAAAGTATACGGGTGTCCTTGTAGTATAATGATAAGGGGGTGCTGTTTATCTTGCTACTGTAAGTGACTTCGGAGAACATTGTTTAACTCTTTGAGTACCGTCATTATAGACACAATTAAAGAACAATAGGTTGCGGTCACCGATGTACTCGCAGTGTTTGACAGTTTAAGTGCTATAATGTTCAAAATCAGTGATTTGTAAAGGTCATAAGCTATGGCCTTTATTTTTTTTATTGGTATAAGCCGGTAAACGATCAGACGGATTACCTGATGGTAAGTAATCGGCGTCACTCATGTACACACGGAGCACTAGAGGCGTTACGTTAAATACATTATCGGCCTTTTGGGATTAGTAATTTGAGGATTGTTGGGGATTCAGTGATTGGCGAGATTGGGGAGGGATAGGGATTACTGGTCCTCCTGTAACCTCACTCACACGAGTACACACACCGGTGAGTGTGTCACTTGTAACGCCTCTAGTTTCCGTGTGTCCATGAGCGACGCTGATTGCTTACCATCAAGTGATCCGTCTTCTCATTTACCGGCTTATACCATGAAAAAGTCGCGGAGAACCTAACGGGTAACCGGGGCTCCGGCTTGAAGTGCAGGAGTAGGAACGGGGTGGTTTTTAGTCAGTAAGAGTCTGACACTCACTCCCCTCACCCAGGCGGGAGCAATAATACGATGAATTTCCCCACTTAAAAAAAATTACATGAAAAATCAACAAAAAATGTTTACCTATGTAATTTACAGATACTAAAATTAATTTTATTTATTCCAGAATAACCCGATAGTGACGATAACAAATCCTCAGGAGAGCGAAGAAGAAATTCAGAAGAAAAATGATAATGTTATCAAGGAGAATGGTTAGTGAATTATTAAACTACTAGCTTTTACCCGCGGCTTCGCTCGCGTCACAAAAGGATAAAAAGTAGCCTATGTGACATATACCAATACACACAGCGCCATCTATACCAATACTTTTGTTTTCCCTCGGGAATATCAAATTTTTTCGGGATAAAAAGTACCCTATTATTTAATCCGGACTTCTAACTTTACGTCTGCAAAAAATCAAAGCAATCGGTTTAGTAGTTACGGCGTGAAAGCGGGACAAACAAACAAACTCACTTTCCGATTTATAATATTAGTAAGGACTATAAGGTGGTGGTTCTAGGTCGTGATAGTAGTAAAATTCATTTGTGTCAGCTTGGAGTTGTCATGCTCACTCAAAGGTCTCAGTGGCGGTGGCGCGTGCAGTGGATCGCTCGATTCCCTACAATATGGTTGAGTTGGGCGGGGATGGGGTACGTGGCATGTTCGTGAACGGGCGCTGTCAACTGGGACTGGTCAGCTCCAGACTGTATTATTTACATAACACAACATAACATAACATCACGCCTTTTATGCTCGAAGGGGTAGGCAAAGGTGCACATTATACCACTGTACAATGTAACACCCACTTTTCACTATTTATGTTATGAGTCCCATGTAATAGGGGGTGAGCCTATTGCCATATACCGGGCACAGTTCCAGACTCCGTGCTACTACTGAGAATTTTTTAAAAACCCAGTAATACGTTGCCCGACCCGGGAATCGAACCCGAGACCCTTTGTCCGGCAGTCGCACTTGCGACCACTCGACCAACGAGGCAGTCAACAACGGCAGGCAACTGTATTATTTATTGTCCTTAAAGGTTATTTTCTTTTTCGATCACTTTGACTGGATTTAGGTTTTGCATGTTCTCACACAATCAAACAAACAAAACTATGTAACTATGGCCTTTGATAGATAATTAAATTTACTTTCCTCTCCCCAGGCGAGACCTCCCAGCCGCAGATCTCAGTGCCCCACGTGCCGGAAGTGTCCATAAAGCCGGCCACCATAGAGCAGCAGATAGAGGCGGCGCGGCGCCAGGTGTCCATGCTACGCACGAGACTCGAACGCAGGAACGTGCGCGTCAGTAAAGTCGCTGATATGTATGTATGCATTTATGAATGTTTTGAGTGTCTAAAGCATATTATATCATGATATCACGCCTTTTATCCTCGAAGAGGTGAACATTACGGCACTTAATGCCACTGTACAAACAGTATTAAGTGTCGTAATGTGCATTACATTGTTGTAGCACCCACTTTTCACTATTTATGTTATGAGTCCCATGTAATAGGGGGTGAGCCTATTTCCATATACCGGGCACTGTTCCAGATTCCGTGCTATTACTGAGAATTAAAAAAAAAATCGGCCCGACCCAGAAATCGAATCCGAGACCCCTTGCCCGGCAGTCGCACTTGTGACCACCCGGCCAATGAGGCAGTCAGCATATTATAACATAACATAATATCACGCCTGTTATCCCCGAAGGGGTAGTCAGAGGTGTACTTTTCACTATTTATGTTATGAGTCCCATGTAATAGGGGGTGAACCTATTGCCATATATTTGATTTTATGTAATCTATAAATTGTTTTTCTGTGCGTGTGTTTAATGAATATATGAGTGAGTCTACCGTTTATCGCTAGCGTAGTAAGAGGTCAATTATTCGCTATCTATTGAGCTGTAAATTGGTATGTTTACCCATCCACTTATTATACCCACGACACAGAAGCAAATTCAAGCATGGAGCAATAGTACTCCTTAATAGAAAATAAATTATTTCCACTGTTCAATACTATTAAAAAACACTTTCATCAATTGATTTTATGATCAAATTAACTTTAGTATTTTTCCAGCGTATTTTTACGAAATAACTATGCTGTTTAATGCTAAAAAAACGTGACGTCAGAATACACAATCTCGTACAAAATTCAGAATAGAAAACTCTCGTTTTTGACAGTTCGTAAAAAAAGTATTGGATTTGACTAGTTGGCAAGTACACAATTAAAAACTATCATATCTTCACAACGGTTCTTATAATTTGGGTCATTTTCCAGGTTCATAGCCTACTGCGAGCAATATGCGGAGTATGACGCGTTCCTAACTCCGCCTGAGTGGCCCAACCCGTGGGTCAGCGACACCACTGATATGTGGGATCAGGAGAAACAGTGGTATGTTTTAATTATATGTTTTTTATGGCATAAGTCTGTAAACGAGCAGACAGATCACCTGATGGTAAGCAATTGGCGACACTCATGGACACACGGACACTAGCGGCTTTACAAGTACGTTACTGCCGTTTTGGGGGCTTAGAAATTTGAGGATTGTTGGGAATACAGGGATTGAGGAGATTGAATATTTACCTTAATCAAAAATAAATTATTTGGACTGTTCAATATAATACAATATTAAAAAAATATCACACTTTCGTTACTAGACAAATTTTTAAGAAATAACTAAAAAGCATTGTTTGACGCTAAAAAGACGTGACGTCACAGTACACAATATCGTACAAAATTCGTACAAAACTGTCGTTATTGACAGTTCGAAAAAGTATTGAATTTGACTAATTGGCAAGTACCCAATTAGGGAAGGCTCACTCTATTACACACAACGCTGTGGTTGTTTCACTACGGTGTCCAGGAGGCTTACTCTTGAATCCAATTCCGATCGATCGACATTGGTATTGTGAAATTTCGTACTCTTGAGTTGCAACACTAGCGCCCATTGCACCCGTATTGCATGGATATTGAATAAACTAAATGGTATTGAGTTTGTCTTTATATCCCGTACTCTGAATGCTATTGTAACAGCTACGATTGTGGTTGTATAGTGTTGACATTGAATAATTATTGAGATTTTATTGGATTGAAATTGCATTGACATTGAGATTGGTTTCAAGAGTAAGCACCCTGGTCGTCGGTGATATCACTCCGGTCGAGCCGGGACTGCAGGGTCGAAGCATGGCTCTGACACAGTTAACCCTCACTCCGTCACTTAAATAAGAAGTCAAGGTCAAGAGCTCCAGCTCGTGTGTTCGGACTTCAGTGTTCCGGTGTTTTTATGGTGGTATCTACTGTAGATCCTGGCTTACAGGAGTTGCAGCGGTTTTGAGAGGTTGTGGCGGGCTTGTCACATAAAAAATTTCCAGCTCTGTGCAGAAGTAGGAACGGGATGGTGCTTAGTCAGTAAGAGACTGACACTCTCTTACTTGTTACCTATATTATTATTTATTGTCCTTAAAGTTATTATCTCTTTCGATTCTTTGACTGGATTTTAGTGTTACATTGTTCTCTGACAATCCAAACAGCAAAACTATGTAACTAGAGAATTGTATTGTAAACCTGATTGAAAAAGAGTAACCTATGGAGTTTCTTGCTCGTTCTTCTCCATAGGAATATACACTAGGAACAAGCAAATAGCGTCACTTTAAATTTTTTGTTGAAAAGTGTCTTTCTGGTCTAATAGGGTAGACGACTAATTTTTATTTATGTCCGTCTGATAGATTATTTAAAAACATTAGACACGTATTTTTTATTTTCTCACAGAAACGAATAGTTTCGAAGATATATTGATTTGAAATGTCGCGTGACGTCACTTCTCAGTACATTTTATACTAAGGAATGACGTTTTAGCCCCCACTCCTAAACTTTGATTCGTTTTATCTAAGTATTGTTTTATTATACGACAAAATAAAAAAATACGTGTCTAATATTTTTTCATTACCTAACTTACGGACTAATTATATTTTTAATTTTCATACCCTGTCATCATCCCCATTGAAATAAATGATTTTGACTTTAACTTTGACTTTGACTTTTTATGATGACTTTATACTATGTAAATTCCAGCAAAGAGCCACTGCCGCTCCGGCGCGTCCGTCGCTGGTCGTTCTCTCTCCGCGAGCTGCTACAAGACAACGCCGGCAAGGAGCACTTCGCCAAGTTCCTGTCCAAAGAGTTCAGTGGGGAGAACTTGAAGTAAGTTATTTATTAATAGACTGCACGGTTGGTGCGGTGGCTGGGCAACCGGCTGCCGTGCAACGTGTCGCGGGTTCGATTCCCGCACGGAACAACACTTTGTGTGATCCACAGATTGTTGTTCCGGGTCTGGGTGTGTATGTGAACTTGTATGTTTGTAAACGCACCCACGATGCAGGAGAAAATCCTAGTGTGGGGCAACGTTAAAAAAAAAATCACATTTTTATATCGATTCAATTGCAATTAGCTTGCAACTATTGACCCTACAGTTACAGCGTAAAGTCTCCTGCGGGCAACTTAACATTCGACAAGCTTATATTTTCGTTTGAAACTACGTTTATAAAAAAAACGACTTCTAACCCCTCTCTTTTGTAGTCGGGTAATTAATATACTTAATCGCACTCCTAAGTGTAACAGACGAATGAAAACATATCAAAATCGGTTCAGCTAATCGCGAGATACTTGCACACAAACATTCATAGTAATCATACATACAGTGCACATATTTTTTTTGAAGTCGGTTAAAAATACACCTTATAAATCATATAAATGTGAAAGTTCATGAGTTTGTGTATTTACGTAGTAGTTTATAAATAAACCCCATCAAAATCGTATAAATAACATCACGCCTTTTTATCCCCGAAGGGTTTAAGCAGAGGTCCACATTTCGGCACTTAATGCCACTGTACAATGTAACACCCACTTTTTACTATTTATGTTACCAGTCCCATGTAATAGGTGGTAAGCGTATTGCCATATACCGGACACTATTCCAGACTCCGTGCTACGACTGAGATTTTTAAAAACCCAGTAATACTTTGCCCGACCCGGGAATCCCGAGACCTCTTGCCCGGCAGTCGCACTTGCGACCACTCGGCCAATGAGTCGGTTCAGCCAATTGCGAGGTAATGCACAAACATACAGACATACAGGTCACACTGGGAACATCCTTTTCTCTTTTTGAAGTCAGTAAAAGAATTATTAATACAATGAATACAATAATAATATATGTTCTGTTGTCCCAGGTTCTGGCTAGCGGTGCAGGAATTGAAGGCGCTCCCCATCCGTCGCGTGGCGGCGCGAGCCAAGGACATATGGAAGGAATACCTCGCTGCTGATGCCCCGTCACCTATTAATATCGATGCTGCTAGCAGGTCGGTTGTAGTTATATATTTCTTTTTTTATGTTATAAGCCGGTAAACGAGTAGACGGATCACCTGATGGTAAGCAATCGGCGTCGCCCATGGACACCTGGAACACCATAGGCGTTACAAGTGTCTTACTGGTCTTTTGGGAATTGGGAATTTGAGGATTGTGGAGGATCCGGGGTTTGGGGGAGACTGGGGAATGGGGGAGGGGGGAATTAGGCCTCCTGTAACTTCAGTCACGCGACGAAACACAACGCAAGTATTGTGTCACTATGGTTTTCTGCTCGTCGGTGGTATTACTCCGGTCGAGCCGGCCCAGCAGTGCCGAAGCATGGCTCTCCCACAGTTAGACTTCTTTGAAATTATTAAATGAAAAACTGCAATGCAAAGGTTTTAAAAATATTGTTATATTTTTATTTTTTCAGGGAACTTACTCGACAGAAAGTGGAGTCGGGTACCGCCGACCGATATTGCTTCGATCAAGCTCAGGTAACTGATTTCATACAATATTGACAATTTTTATGCTTCAATTTCATCATGTCAGTAGTTACTATTTCCTGAAATCTCGAAGTTTGAATACTAATTTAAACCAATCTAAATCTCAGTAATAGCACAGAGTAGAAATTGGGTACTTTCATCCAAGGTAAATTCGACTGCGGAGTCCCCCATTACATGGGAATCATAACTTAAATAGTGAAAATTAGTGTTAAATTGTACACATCTCCCTACGCGTTCGGGAATAAAAGGCGTGATGTTATGTTATGTGTTATTTTTCCAATTTTTCTGTTATTGATCAAAACGACAAACCTGGAATTTGATTTTTTTTGACTTTGAATCATGTTTGACATTGACTTTGACTTTGATGTTGACAGGCGCACGTGTATCACCTGATGAAGTCGGACAGCTACTCGAGGTACTTAAGATCTGAAATGTACAAGGACTATCTCAACGGATCCAAGAAAAAGGTAAATTATGTTTATCTATACTAATATTATAAAGAGGAAAAATTTGTACCTATTTTTGTATGTTTGTAATGAATAGGTTCAAAAAGTATTGGGCCGATTTAAAAAATTCTTTCACCAATAGAGTGCTACATTTTTCCAATTTGGCATAGGCTACATTTCATTTTGAAAAAAACTAGGGATCCTTGGTAAAATTTGAACAATGTAATCGAAGGTGTAGAAAAATGAGTCTTAAAATGTCTGCCGTCGAATGTGCTGCCGAAACTATTAGCGATAGAAGAAAATAATGTACAACAATATTGAAGAACATCATAATGTCTACAAAAAACTCCGCGGTAGCATATGTCCAACTATTATAGTTATGTCACTACAACAATCTAAATTTCCAAAAATAAATAATTGTCTACCCCGTGCGAAGCCGGGACGGGCTGCTAGTTTAATTATAAAAGTGTGGGAGAGCCGAGAGAGAGAGGTATTGGTATATGTCACATTGGCTTTTTATCCTTTTGTGACACGAGCGAAGCCGCGGGTAAAAGCTAGTTGTTTAGTGAAGTATACTTAGTGTAATCCTATAATTACTATATTACATTTTGTATTATTTACAGACATCAGTAAAAGGCATTCGCTCCATAGTATCGTTCACGGCGCGCAAGGAGACGTCGGCGAACTGAAGCGTAGTTATGTACCAAAGGTTTGTTGTTACTGTACTCTACTTGTTACGCGCATAGACGCTACTGGCTAACGCGTATATTGTCTTACTGTGGATTTTTAATCAAATTTGATTTTCAAAGTCAAACTAAATTTTCAACGTCAAATTCAATGTCAGAGTTAAAATTGAGTCTCGCTGCCAAATTTAATATCAATGTTATATTTTAAGTTCAAGGTCAATGTCAAAATCAAAAATAATGTCAAGGTCAAAGTCAAAATCAAAATGTTAATTTCAAAATCGTAGCTGTTTAGTAGTCAATATTATAATAATAAATTACTATTATATGACAGACAGGCTTTGTCAAATGTCGTCTTACTTTCAAAGGCCTGATATAAATAATTTTTAATTAATTTAAAATCCACAGTAAAACAATATACACAGAAAGTTTTGAAAAAAATACTCAGTGTGTAGATCTATAAGTTTTAATTAGTAAAAATTTGATATTCTTTGTGAGATGTAATAATATTTTGATTGAAATCGTTTGAATATTGGCCGTTGTTTGGCTTTACGTCGCTTCCTATTACATGGGACTTAGAAAGGAAGAAAGATAAAACATTTATTCGACAGTATTCGGGTAAAGAAATATTAAGTATTTCCAACTTTAAAATTCTCAATAATATTTAATGAATTGATGCATGCTAGCTCTCTATTACAATATAGTTATAATATTTAGAATTAATTAACAAAGATGATGTACCTTAAGTACATCTCAGCTTACCGCTGTTAAGAAAACAAGGATTGTCAAAGTCAACATCAAAGTCAAAGTCAAAATTCAAAACTATTTTCAATATGACTTTTTATTAAAATTTAAATAGAAATGTGACTTGCCATCGTCTAAATATTTAAACGATTTCAATCAAATAATCTCATACCCTTATAGACTTTTAACTTATAAAAAATTGTGTATTAGAAGAAAATAATACCTTAAATGTTATTACCTACTCTATATTATCATAATATATAAAGTATATATTATATAAATAAATATAAAAAAAAAACATTTTAAAATAACATTGAAGATCAAAACCAAAATTTGACTTTCAAAGTCAGTGCATTTATTTTTTTAATACATGGTTAAATGTTTGTTTCAATATCAAAATCAATATTTGATTTTCAATGTCAAAGTCAAAATCAAAATCAAAGCTTGACTTTCAAAGTTAAAGTCAAGTTTTACTACAAAAAAGCACTGTTTAATGTTAAATTAAGTTTACATAAATGATCAAAAGTGTTTTTATTATCTTAGAAAACTGAAATTTAATTGATTTTAATATTAGTTACTAAATTATAAGTGATTTTTTTATATGGGAGCATCAAACTACATAATATGTGCCAATGACTTTTTGAAAGGCGTAAGCCTCGTATAATTCCGAACCACGACAGAGACTCATAATTATGAACAGCATGTACGAAATCATTGACTAATTAATTTAGAAAAACGAAATGAGGCTTCTATATTAAATTACTTTTCATAAGGACCTGCTAAAACAAAATACAAAACCAAAGAATTACTCGTATTTACAATAAAGAAAACCCACCGAGTTTCTAAAGTCTTTCTAATCAGGGAGGGCCCAATTACCCTCCCCTTCCCCAATCTCCCCAATCCCTGTATCCCCAACGATCCTCAAACTCCTAATCCCCAAAAGGCTGGTAACGCACTTGTAACGCCTCTGGTGTTCCAGGTGTCCATGGACGACGCCAATTGCTTACCATCAGGTGGTCCGTCTGCACGTTTACCGGCTTATGCCATAAAAAAGTAAGAGTCTGATACTCCCTCTCGCCTCACCCAGGCGGGAGCAGTCATTCGATGATTTTCCCTCCCTCAAAAAACCCAATTTTCAGTAAACTGGTAAACAGTGGGTGTTATATTGTATACTTGGACCTCTGTCTACATCTCTACCCATTGTAGTCTGTCAAAGCAAGTACCAATGTGACTTTTTCCGAGTTATATGTACTTTCTAAGATTATTTAGACACCACTGACAAACGGTGAAGGAAAACATCGTGAGGAAACCAGGGCTTATAATTTCTAATTGGATACTTTCCTTAATCAAAAATGAATGATTTCGACTATTCAATACAATAAAATATTAAATAATAATCACACTTTCATTCATTGATTTTATGACCAACTTCATGTTAGTATTTTTACAGCAAATTTTTAAGAAATAACTATGCTGTTTGACGCTAAAAAAACGTGACGTCACAATACACAATCTCTTACAAAATTCATAGAAAACTCTCGTTTTTGACAGTTCGACAAAAGTATTGAATTTGATTAGTTGGCAAGTACACAATTATAAGTCTGTAATCGCCAACCCGCATTGAGTTAACATGGTGATTAATGCTCAAACCTTCTCCGTGTGAAATAAGGCCTTTGGTCATCAGTGGTCACATATAGGCTATATGGATAACCTCTGTCGACCCCGTTAGTGATTAATGGACATTACGTTCCGTTGTGATATTTGTCCCCATATAAAATTTTCCGCTAGTAAAGATAGTAACTCATACTAAGATTTGTAGGCGTTTTAGTCCACACGACTGTACATCAAATTAAGGGCTCGTACACAAAACTGCGATGCGATACGATGCGAATTCGCAACGCAAAAAAATACGATGCAAATTGTTGCGATGCGATTTCGTACGACAAGGCGTCTCCCGGGGTGACCATTCCTTCGACGACCGTCAACCGTACTAAACGTATTTTAAATTGAAAACTAGGTCGTGACATGGATCGTAAAAAGAAGTGTGCACTTCTGTTATTGCTTAGGAGATACAGGAAAAAGAAGCAAAGAAGATTTTGATGCGCGATGTGAATCAATTCGCAAGTTCTTGCGATGCGTAGAGGGAGCTCGCACATTTTTTGCAGTTTTGTGTACGAGCCCTAAATAAAAACCATTTTATCATGGTGCCGTTTTATCGTGATACGATCTCCGGCCACCTTACAAGCATAGGCTGGACAGCGAGCAAGGGTCTCAAAGAGCCATCAGACCACCCAGATTAGGCCCAGTAAGGCTGATGCCGATACAAAGCCGTAAACGACCGCAATGCTGTATTTACACTTTCAGTCGAGACGGGACAGATATACACTGTCGTTACTCTAAAAAAGTTGTAGTGCTAGACTGCAATGGAGTCGCGGAGAACCTAACGGGTAACCGGGGCTCCGGCTCGACGTGCAGAAGAAGGAACGGGGTGGTTTTTAGTCAGTAAGAGTCTGACACTCCCTTCCGCCTCACCCAGGCGGGAGCAGTCATTCGATGATTTTCCACCCTTAAAATAAAAAAAGACTGCAATGTACCTCAATCTCGTGTTCGTTCGCGCGAGTGTAAATGTAGCATTGGGTTCCCGAGGCTCGAAGTGCAGGAGTAGGAACGGGGTGGTTTCTAATCAGTAAGAGTCTGACACTCCCTCCCGCCTCACCCAGGAAGTCAGTCGATGACTTGAACTTCGACACTCCAAAAATAAATGGTCCGCTTTGTATGATATTTCCGCTTCTTCGACCGTCAGTTTATACTGCTTTTAAATAACTTGATATACAGTCGTGTGTACTAAAATCGGTTCATTTTTTAACTATACAAATATGAAAATAAACACACCCCCTATTACACGGGACTCGTAACATAAATAGTTAAAAGTGACTGTTACATTGTACAGTGGCATTTAGTGCCGTAATGTACACCTCTGCCTACCCCGTCGGGGATAAAAGGCGTGATGTTATGTTAAATATGACAATTCATACCAAAGTGTTTACCCCTCCTCTTTTAATTAGGATTCTTTATATTATTATATATTTTTTTATAGATTTAGATTATGATTTTTAAGATAGGTTTTATCTTAAGAGACTCCTAATATGACTGGTGAAAAGTGGGTGTTACATAGTGTAGGTATAGTCAATCAAGTTGCAATATGCATGTAAGAAAACAAAGATTGATTAAAGAGACAGCTTTAAACGTCAAAGTTTGGCAAGTTTATATTTAAGGCCATACCTATGTAAAATCCTTACTAATATTATAAATCGGAAAGTGAGTTTGTTTGTTTGTTTGTTCCGCTTTCACGCCGTAACTACTAAACCGATTGCTTTGAATTTTTGCAGACGTAAAGTTAGAAGTCCGGATTAAATAATAGTTTATGCTTATAAATATAAATATAATTTTTATTCTGGAAAAATGTGATATTCCCGAGGGAAAACAAAAGTATTGGTATAGATGGCGCTGTGTGTATTGGTATGTTATTACGTCACAGGCTACTTTTTTCTTATGTGACGCGAGCGAAGCTGCGGGTCAATGAATAAATTTGTTAAAAAAAGTAACCAACGGTTGTCTAGAGCCGACTGAGTTAACGTTGATTTTTTTTGCAAACCCGAGCCCTTTGGCGTTTAGTGATTGTCGAGTAGTCAAAATCAAAGCATTTATTTCAATTAAACTTTCAAACACCGTGAGGACACCGGTGACCGCAACCTATTGTTCTTTAATTGTGTCTATAATGACGGTAGGTACTCAAAGGGTTAAACCATATTTTGGTACTTTTTAAACGTCAACAAATACAAAATAAATAATAGTCTGTCAGTCAAGTTTCCAAGTGTGCGAGCACACTTCGGCACTGCTGGGCCGGCTCGACCGGAGTGATACCACGGCCTCACAGAAAACCGACGTGAAGCAACGCTTGCGTTGTGTTTCGTCGTGTGAGTGAGGTTCCGGAGGCCCAATTACCCTCCCCTTCCCCAATCTACCCAATCTCTGAATCCCCAACGATCCTCAAACTCCTAATCCCCAAAAGGCCGGTAACGCACTTGTAACGCCTCTAGTGTTCTAGGTGTCCATGGTCGACGCCGATTGCTTACCATCAGGTGATCCGTCTGCTCGTTTACCGGCTTATGCTATAAAAAAAGTCAGTCCGTCAGTGAAGCTAGGTGTAATTTCACTAATACATCATACTCAACTTCTTTTAACTTTTTGGGTAGCGCCAG